CTAGAATAGAAAATAGAATTAAATAGCATTAAGACTAGAATAGAAAATAGAATAGAATTGAGAACAGAATAGAATAGAATAAAAAAGAGAAGAGAAGAGAACAAAATAGAACAGAACAGAATAGAATAAAATAGAATAGAGAATAGAACAGAATAGAATAAATAGAGAATAGAACAGAACAGAATAGAATAAAATAGAATAGAGAATAGAACAGAATAGAATAAATAGAGAACAGAATAGAACAGAACAAAATAAAATAGAGAATTGAACAAAATAGAACATAACAGAACAGAATAGAATAGAACAGAACAGAATAGAATAGAGCTGGAAGGGACCTTGGAGGTCTTCTAGTCCAGCCCTCTGCTCAAGCAGCAAAACTGATATCCCCTTCCTCTCCAGGCGTAAGCCCTGATTGATGGCTAACCAGTTAAACCACAGGTAGTCTTCGACTTACAACAGTTTGTCTAGTTACCCTTTGAAGTTACAACGGCATTGAAAAAAGTGACCGTTTTCACACTTAACGACCGTTGCAGCATCCCCGTGATCACGGATCAAAATTCAGACTCTTAGAAACGGACTCCTGTTTACGACGGCTTTTGCACCTTTCGAACAAATAAAGTCATCGGGGAAGCCAGATTTCTCTTAGCGACTTTGTTACCAACATAACAACCGCAGGGATTCACTTAACACCCGGGTTACTAACTCAACGACCGCAGTGATTCACTTAACAACGGTGACAAGAAAGGACGTCAAATTGGGGTGAAACTTCACTTAATGACCGTCTCGCTTAGTGACAGAAACATTGGGCTCAATCGTGGTCGTAAATCGAGGACTGCCTGTATCAAATGAAATCTGTCTAAGGTATTGTTAGGATCCAACTGGGGTCAAAATGTGAATTTCCAGCCATCCTGTGGACTTCAACTCCCAGAATTCCCCAGCCAGCATGAAGAAATGTGACTGGACTATTTATAATCCCATTTTTGATTGGATAATTCTTTGGATAGATGGCGGGAATGCGGCTGATGTAATAGACCTTGATTTCTAGCAAATGGCCGACTAAGGAATTCTGGGAATTGAAGTCCACAAGTCTTAAAGGGGCGAAGCGTGAAAAAAATATTAACAAAAACATATTTTTTTTGCACAACTCGGAGTTGAAATCCCCACATTTGGAAGCTGTCAATGTGTTAGATACACAATTTTTAGCCATCATCATGGTTTCCTGGACGATTCACACAGTCCTTGACTTGCTTAGTGGCTGTTGGTTGCAAGGATCACTCGATTTATGACCGTGATAGGCTGGTCATAACTAGAGGACCGCTGTTTTTTTAAAAAACAAAATCCTGGCATTTTTGGTTCGTTCCTAGTTCTTTTAGCCAAAATCTTACACGGAAAAGTCGAGTATCACGTTCCAATTGGTCTCTTCCGTCTTTGCAAAGAGCGACGGTGGCTGGGGAGGATGGTTTGTGTAGTCCGGTGGTTTGATTTGGGCTTTTCTTTCTGGTCCTCAGAAACGGCTGTCGGAGGAAATGGAGCCGGTAAGCGAACATTTCTTTTGTTGCCTTGCACGAAAATGGGAACCCTCTATACAGGCGGTCCTCGACTTACGACCGCTTTGTTTAGCGACCGTTTAAAGTGACAACGGCCCTGGAAAAAAGGGGGCTTCGGGCAGTTTTCCACACTTAAGACCATTGTGGCATCTCCCCCACGATCACAGGATCAAAATTCAGGCGCTTGGCGGTCGCCTCGTAGTTACGACGGTTGCAGTGTCTCATATTTATGACGGTTAAAATAGCCCCGGAGTCACGCGATCCCCATTTGTGATCTTCTGACCAGCCAAGTCAACCGGGAAGCCAGATTCGTTTAATGGCCACATGACTCACTTAATAACCACAGTGGTGGTAGTCGTAAAAGGGAGCAAAATTGACTGAACAAATGTTTCACTTAACGGCAGATATTTTGGGCTCAATTGAGGGCAAAATTTACGACGGTTTGACCTTCCCCAATGGGGAATCCGGATTCGCTTAACAACTGTGGGACTCACTTAACAACCGCAGTGACTCACTTCACGACGGCGGCAAGAACAGTTGCAAAACGGGACAGAACTCCCTTAACCAATGTCTCGTTTAGCGTCAGGTCGCAAAAGGGGGGACAGCTCGCTCCACCGCTTTCTCGCTTAGCAACGGAAAAGTCGCCCTCAATTTTGGTCGTAAGTCGAGGACTGCCAGTATACCGCAGAGAGGGAAAAACTGCTTTTGGTGGTCTCCTTGGGAGTAAATGCTTCTCTCTTTGTCGCTCCTGAGTCTGCACAACCACACAGTTTTAAGGCTGTGGGTTGCCTTTAAACCAGAAATGGTGTAGGGGGGTTGGACTAGATGACCTACAAGGTCCCTTCCAACTTTGTTAATGTAAAGTAATGTAATCATCGCCCAACCACCCCAAAACCAGGGGGAAAAAATTATATAGCCACCCTTGGGGAAATAAGCTTGCCTATTCCTGAACAAGCCAGGATGAAACCAGCATGGGGAGATAAAATATTCTGCCGATCTAGACTACCATTCTGTTTCCACCAATCGGTAAGAACAAATTAATAAACGAATAAGAATAATTTGGAGGTTCTCCTAGAGTGAGTTGTGAGATGAGTTCGATCCTGGGTAGAGGCAAATATTTCTCTCTCTGGGCACCATGAGAATATATCTGCTGAAGAAAACTCCGCACTGGCGACAGGGACAGGCGTCCGGCCACTAAAACACCATTCAGTTGCCCAGACTCCACCCCACAAGGAATTACACGGTCATTAAAAGAAGATGATGAATAAGGAGACTTTCCTCCTCCTCCCTCCCCTACTCGCCCTCGCAAGCGATTGGTATTCGGTGGGTAGACTGCCTCTGAACAGGGAGGCTCCATTAGTAAAATCTGGAAAATCTCGTTCGGAAGGACTCTTAAGAGTAGACTAAATTTTCCTTTTTTTTAAAACAAAGATTTTGGCAAATGATTTGAAGAGATCGAAGCCAGAAAGGCGCAGCTGTATTTCCGTTGTGGTTGTGGGTCCCCGTTGTGGGAAATTAAGGACAAATTGAAGGAGAATTAAGCGGACCGGTGGAAGGATCGGCGGATTCCTTCTTGGCTTCTACCGGCTGACGAAGCCGGTTATCTTTTTCCTGGAGCTCAACGGCTTGGCTCGCTGCTTTGAGACGTTTGCGGGGTGTGTCCCCCCTTTGGGGACGATGGGCTTTGTAGTGGCTGCAAAGCTGCCGATTGGAATCAGCTAAAAAAGCGTGTCCGGTTTTTACCGACGAACCATTTTTGGCAAAACTTTGTATCACCTGCAGTACCTCTCTTCCCCTCCAGGTGGTGCTCTCCTCCAGCTGGAACCACCAAGGCAAGTTCCTGCAGCATTTTGCCCAGGAGGGGGCGCTGCGGCATCGAAGGCAAGGTGAGTGGTGCCTTCTAAGAGGGGGATGTAATAATACCGATGGTCCTCAATTTACAACTGTTATTCATTTAGCGCCGGTTTAAAGTTACAGCGGCACAGAAAAAAGGGACTTACGGCCAGTCCTCACACTTATGACCGTTGCAGTCACGTGATTGCCCATTGTGACCTTCCCAGCAGGGCTTCCGGAGAGCAGAGTCAATGGATTCGCTTAGCGACCGTACGATTCACTTAAGAGCTGCGGTGATTTGCTTAACAACTGGGGCAAAAGTTGGAAAAGCGAGCGCGATTCGCTTAACAACTTGCCTCGAGATGAAACCTGTCCCTATTGTGGTTATAAGTCGAGGACTTATGGACTTATGGAGGGGAGAGCAGTTGCTTTCTCTTGGTCTTTTACGGGGAGTCCTCCGACATACGACCACAATTGAGCCCATTATTTCCGTTGCTAAGCGAGACATTGGTTCAGGGAGTTGTGTCCCGTTTTAGGGCCTTTCTCGCCCCTGTTGTTAAGCGGATCTTGCCGGTCCGACGGTTGCAAAAGGGGATCGCGTAACCTTGGGACGCTGCGGCCGTCGTAAATACGAGTCAAGTGGCCGAGTGTTTGAATTTGGCTCACGTGACACCGGGGGTGTGTCGACGGTCGTAAGTGTGAAAAACGTCCTAAGTCACTTCCCCCCCCCCAGTGCCGTTGTAACTTTAAACGGTCACTAAATGCACCGTTGTAAGTTGAGGACTGGCTGGACTTGGATGGGTGGGAAAATTGTCGGCTGCTGGGATCTTATTATCTGGGGTCACACACCCCCCCCCACCTCTTTTTCAGCTGAGAAAGGGAAGCGATTACGGCCGTGCCGGGCGGGGAACATCTGCGCTGCCCACTATGAAGGTGAGGGAGGTTCTCCTCAGCGCCCCCCCCGCCCCCCCCCCGAAGAGGAGAGATGGGGAGGGGGATGGAGGGGGGGGCTCCCAGGCCTGGATTTTATTTGGAGCCTCTCTCTCCAGACAGCACAAAGTCCCGTCCTTCCGTCAAACTGATTCTCTTTCTTTCTTTCTTTCTTTCTTTCTTTCTTTCTTTCTTTCTTTCTTTCTTTCTTTCTTTCTTTCTT